TGACTCAGCTTTTGCCCTCAGGACCTTCCGTTCTCCTAGCCTCTGACTTCTGCTTTCCATCTGGGGGCTGAGGTCCTCTCTGCACCTCTAAGCTCCCAGTGCAGTGAGGGGTCCTGGGTGGGAAGCCCCAGTTATGAGGGCAGGTCTGACTGATGGTTGCTGTTGCTATCCGGGTACCAAGTCAATGTCTGAGCATGTCAACTGAGGACATTCTCATATTTGTTTAGAGTGGACCAAGCTCTAAAATCAGCCAGATGAAAAATTCAGACAGTCACCTGGGGCTTTTGTCTATAGATAAACAAATAACCAATTTGAATGACTTTTTTTTTTAATGACTTTGGCTTAAGGATGTATCTTACACAACAAAACCCAGCATGCTTTCTTCGATTAGCTTGACTGGTTAAGAAAGTCACATAGAAAAAGACAGAATTAATTTTGTATATTGACTCAAATTTAAACGTGGAACTTCACTTTTTGTGTGTGACTGATTTGAATCAAATCTTAATTTTATGTCATCCATAACCTAAATGAGATCAATTCTTTGATGATAACAAATTATCTTAGTAATAAGAGCCTTTAATATGTTCATAGCCTTACTCAGGTCCTTTTCATTGGCTCAATGGGTAATTTTTATTCATTGTATATTAGACTGTGACTATATATGTACATTTTATTGGTCAGTTTGATTATAAGAATCTGCATCTGAAAAAAATCACAGAAATTATCTTATTTAACCCCCATTATTTTTCTCCAAAATCCGCAAACAACATTAAATTGTAACTTTTCCCCCTTCCCATTCATCTTTTTTTAAGTTTATTTTTGATACTATTACAGATGTCCCTCTGCCTTTGTCCACCTCCACCCAGCCCTCGACACCACCCATCCCAATATGTTTATGGATTATGCTCTCTTTTGTCCAATCCCCACTCCCCTACTTAAATTATAACTTTTCAATGAGTTATTTCAACTTTATAAATATAGAGGGTTTTTTGCACAGAAACCTGTCTTTTCAAATGACTTAGATCAAGTTGATTGGTACTCATTCATTATGATGTTTCAAAAAAGAAAACTGGCTATAAAAATGGTACAGCCAATAACTTAAGCATGGAATTGTGTACAGTGCCTTCTGTGACCCAGCCCTGAAAGTCTCACTCCCTCACCACCAATACATTGCATCCGATTTCAAGGGGAGAAACCATAGACCCCATCTCTCAATATCAAAGCTCTGTTGCAAGAAGCTGTCATTCTGGCCATTTTGAAAACATCACCTGACAAAGTAAGTCATTTAGAGCATTTGGGTTGATGAAATGCTGCCCTTGAGTAAGAAATTAGTCGAAAGACCTTGAGCACGTGGTGCTTCTATTTATTGGCTGAAATGTATAAATGATACACACTTGGAAGAGTGGATCGCATTCATTTATTCACTGGTATAATCAGGCATCTACTGGTGACCCAAATACCCCATCTCCCATCCTCAATTTATGGCTCCTAGTCTACAAAATCAAACAGCATTGAAAGATGGGCCCCACTCATAACAGAAATGAAAAGTCATCTTGAAAACACCACACAAGGTTTTCATGTTTTGTTTTCTCATCTACCCTTTGTTTGAATCAAAGCCCAGCCTGGTAGGGTTTCACAGTGGCTTTCTTTAGGGTTAATTGCTGGAGAGGTGTCTTTTGCTAATGAGATTGGGCAAGAGAAACGGTAACTGGCATTCCTCAGACTGGGGCTCATGTATTTAAAAACATAGCTAAGGGTTAAACAGACGTTTGAAACAGAAGAGCCTTTTTGTGCTTGTTGTTGTTCTTGCTATTATTTTAAACATGAAGCTTCATGTTCCCAAACTACTTATGCCCTTTCATAAGAAAGGGCAGTCCTCCTTGAAATTCTCCCACATGAGCCAGAAAAGACATTACTGAATGTCGCCCTCTCACCTGAGTGAGAAGTCGAGTTTCTCTCTGTTCGCTGGTGCTATTTTTGCCCCCAAGAGAAATATTCTTTTATCTCTGCTTTGGCTTTCTTTGCCTTGCTTTCTATTCTTTCATGGATGAAACAATACCAGGGAGACATCAGTTACAACTGCATGTGGTTAACTAGGGTGCAACCCAGCTTTACAAGGCACTCTGCTCTGACCACATCACTCCTCTAAATGCTTCTCAATTACCTACAATCGCCATCAACTAAAACCCCTGTTTGCACACTTTCTGGGGGTGCCTTCACCCCTTCTGCAGGAGGGTCCTGCTACAGGAGGGACCATGGGTGTTTTATCAAAGGGACAGTCCCTATGATATAAACTGTTGTCTACAGGAGGGAAGCCAAAGAGACTTCATGTAATGTCCATGGCACTGACTTTTGTCTGTTATGAATATCACCAGTGTGGTGCTACTATCCGAATCTAGATGGCATCCCAGGAGTTACTCTTTGGAATAAGAGCTGGTTTGGTTTGATATCAAGAATAGGGAACTTGGAACAGACTGTCGAATCTCACAGGGAAGGCAAGGGTGGGTGGGTGGGTAGGAAGAGATCAACCAAAGAACTATATGCATAACCCATGGACACAGACAATAGGTTGGTGAGGGCCTGGGATGGGGAGCAGAGGCGAACTTGAAGGAGTCACAATAAATATATTTTTAAAGGATTTTTTAAATGCATAAAAATGAAAAAAAAATAGGGAGCTTGGAAAACACAGTTTTCTAAGAAGTATACTTTTTTAACTCTTAGCATTTCTAATCATCAGGTTAGACTAGATTGCAACTAGCTTAACTATTTAACCAGTAATTCTTCTAAGTATTTCTCCTTGTGTCTAGATGCTATTAGGGATACAACTGGAAGTTGTAAACCAGCTAGAAGTTTTGATTGATTCATAAAAATGTATGATGATACCTTCATTTCTGGATATCAAAGAGCTCTTGAGAATTTCACTTCAGTTTCCACTGTCTGACTCTAGGCATATATTCAGAAGCTTTTATTGGCGTCTTCTTTGAGGATTAAAGAAAAGGTTGTACATGCACCTCAACCTGGACTTCACATAAAAATCAACCCAAAATGGGTCATGGGGATTTCAATGTAAGATGATACAACTTAGGAAAAAAAGTTAGGAGAAAATCTTTGGGAGCTAGGACTACATAAAATTTTTAGACTTGACAACAAAAGCACAATAAGAAGAAAAAGTAATAAATTTGGCCCTGGCTGGGTAGCTCAGCTGATTAGAACATCATCCCAATATGCTAAAGTTGCGGGTTTGATCCCTAGTCTGGGCACATACAAAAATAACCAATGAATGCATAAACAAATGGAACAACAAACTAATGTTTCTCTCTTTCTCAAATCAATAAAAAATTTTAAAAAAGTAATAAATTGGAGCTCATCAAAATTAACTTTTGCTCTGCAAAAGACCGTGTGAGGGAGAGACAAAAATCAAGCTACCTTATTGGGAGAAAACCTTTGCAAACCACATACCCAACAAAGGCCTTGTATCTAGAATATGGAACGAACTCTCAACACTCAACAGCAATAACAAAAACAGCCCAATCCGAAAATGAGCAAACACGAACAGGCATTTTGCAGCAAAGGATGTACCGGTGGTAACATAAGCCCATGAAAACACGTTCAACATCACCAGCCAGTAGGGAAACGCAAAGTAAAACCACGAGCTATCACTACATGCCTATCAGGGTGAAAATAAACATCCGTGCCCACACCACATGCTGGTGAGAATGCAGAGAAGCGAGATTGCTGGGAATGAAAGTGGTGCAGCCGCTCTGGAAGAGAGCTTGGCAGTTTCTTTCAAAACTCAACATGCACTTACCGTATAATTCAGCAACTGTAGCCTTGGGCATTGATCCCAGGGAAGTGAAAACTGATGTTCACACGAAAACCTGTACATGAATGTTCAGAGAAGCTTTATGGGTGATAGGCCCAGCCTGGAAACAACCCAAATGGCCTTCAACAGGTGAGTGGTTGAACAAGCTAGGACACCTCCACACCAGGCATGTTATGCTATGTAGCAATAAAACTGTTCATACAGGCAAAAGAGGGGATCCATCTTAAAGGAACTTTGTGGAGTTCGAAAAACCAATCTCAAAATGCTAACCTGTGTGATCCCATTCACACAACCTTCTTAAAATAATAAAAATGAGCCCTGGCCGGTTTTGCTCAGCGGTTAGAGTGTCAGCCCGTGGACCGAAGGGTCATGGGTTCAATTCCTCAAGGGCACATACCTCAGTTGGGGAGGCAACCAGTTAATGTGTCTCTCTCACATCGATGTTTCTCTCTCTCCCCTCCTCCTCCCTCCCTTTCACTCCCTCTGAGAATCAATGGAAAAGAATATCCTCAGGTGAGGATTAAAACAAAACAAAAAACACTATAGAGATAGAGAAGATTTTAATGGTTGACAGAAGCTAGGAAGGGAGAGGGGTGTGGAAATGGCAATAAGGGTTAAAACAGAGGTCTTTGGAGATAGAATAGTTTTGTATTTTGATTTGTGATGATGGTTACAAGAATCTATACATGTGATAAAACTGCAAGATATATACAAGTGCCTGCACACACACACACACACACACACACACACACACACACTCTCACACACTCACACGAATGTATGAGTACCCATAAAACTTGTAAACTTTGAATAAGCTCCCTAGATTGTGTCATTGGGATTTTCCTGGTTGTGCTACTGCACCATAGTCTTGCAGGATGGTACCACTGAGGAAAACTGGGTGAAGGGTACATGCATCATGCACACTCCCCTACCATTTTCCTGCAACTCTCTGTGACTATATAATGACTTCAAGAATAAAACATTATTAAAAAGTCATGTGCTGCATTCAATGTAAGGGGCAGGCATTTATTTCTGCTAAAACCGAGGAATAAGAGAGACTAGCAGCAAACAATCTAAGAAGCGAGGAACATGGATAGGAGTGTAGTTGAAATGACTGGTAATTCATTTAGAAACTCACGGAAGGTCGTTATGTGTGATGAGTGCTGAGTTTGCTTACCTGTGTTTTCATGAATGCAGTTGTATGAAAATGAGGAGAACAGAGGGAAACACGACCAAAACACATTGGGAAGCCGGGGTCCGGGGCCCCGATTCCTGCTGGCTCGGTAGCTGCCATTAGCTTCTTCCAGACCTAAGCCCAGAAAAGACAGTAACGTGATTAAAAATATGCCAACAGGAATAAATGTATTTGCTCCCCAAATAGATTTAATCATATCTTTCAATGTCCCATTTTATATTATCTTTTTTGGAAATCACTTAGGCCTCCAATCAGATGATTGTTGGAAAAAGAAGAACAGTTTGGGAATCCAATTTTGAGATGTGTACTCTTACTCTTTCACACAAATAGATAAGCAAATTTCAAAAAACTTTCCCCCCCCCAACACAAATAGATAAGCAAGTTTTAAAATTATTTTTTCACTCAAATAGATAAGCGAAATTGGAAACTTTTCCCCACACAAATAGATAAGCAAGTTTTGAAATGTTTCTATAGCTTTTCAGCAATGGTAGTAGATATGAAATATATATATATATATAATTTTTGAGCGGTTCCAAAAAATGTCATGCCTTATTAAGAACTTTCAAAGAGTGCAAGAGTTGCATAATTTATTTTTTGAAAATTGCCACTTATTATAGCAGTAGGGGACGTCTTTAAAGATGATGAAACATCCACACAGCGTATTATGCTGGAAACTGGATATATTACATTTCAATATATTACTAGGGGGGGGTCTCTAGGAAATAAGTGACATATGTATGGGGAAAAGTATGTAAAGCACCCACCATTCAGCTAAAATGGGGGCATGTAAAAGTAAATATACATATTTGCTTATATTTTTTAAAAAAATCAACGGGAAAAACATAACACTTAAAAAATGATTACTTCGCTCAGCCTGTGTAGCTCAGTGGTTGAGCATCAACCTATGAACCAGGAGGTCATGGTTCAATTCTAAGTCAGGGTGCGTGCCAGGGCTGCAGGCTTGATCCCCAGTAGGGGGCGTGCACGAGGCAGCCGATCAATGATTCTCATCTTTGATGTCTTTCTCTCTCCCTCTCACTTTCTCTCTCTGAAATCAATACAAACATAAAAAGTAAATTTAAAAAATGATTACTTAGAGGGGAAGTAGAGAAAAGGTGAAAGTTACAGGGACAGTAAGTCAACTTCTCTCAATAAACCTGTTTTGTTTTTTTTTTTACATCTGACATTACAACCACATACAGATTTCATACAATTTTAAAATATAATAAAATTAAAAAGCAACTCCTAAAAACAGAAAGGAAAATAAAACACAGGGACCTAACTAACTCTGCATGGGGCTGGTGGCGTGACCTCACAGAGAAAGTCTCTCTAGGTGACTTTAAAGCCAGGACTCTTACTGAACAAAAGGAAGCTGAAAAAAATCCTCAACTTTTTCTATGCTATGTTTTTGATAATAGTATTAGCGCTGTTATTGAGCAATGATTGGATATTTGGTATGAAAGAATGATTAGCTTGTTTTTTTTGTTTAGATGTGATAATCTCACAAGTATGTTTGGAAAGAATCATTATCTTTTGGAGACACATGCTGAAATATTGACCAATGATGCTAAGGTTTGTTCATTTCAAGTAATCCAGGGGCTAGGGCAGTGGGTGAAGTACAGAGGAAGATGGCCAAATTGGTCATTCCTGGAGCTGGGTGATGAGCATGTAAGATTCATGCTCTTATTCCCTGTACTTTTGTATCAATTTGAAAATTTTCAAATTAAAATATGAAAAATGTCAATCAAGTAAGAGTTGAAAAATTCAAAACAAAAGCTCATGCATTGCTTTCTTCAGTGATATGGAAGATGCTCTCTATAGAAATGCATTGCTGGTAAGCCCAACAAAATTTCCAACTTCCTCAAAACCAATTGCTTTTCTATAAGGAACTATCTCCACCAAGATTCATTCTTTGACTTCACTTCAAACCATGAGGGTATTGGGATCTAGCACAAGATCTTTTGGGGCATCATCCATTTTAAAAATTTAGGAAAAGGAAATTAGTTATTTGGGGGGGCATGAAAGAAAATTTAGCCTGAGCTTCTTAGTTAGCCTCATGTGAGAAAATGCAGAGAAGTAGAGAAGAACAAATTTCCAGCTCCTGTTGGCTGGTCCTGCTGATGGAGTCTCCACCGCTGCAACTCTGTGGTGAGAAGGGATGGTGATATGGCCACTGGAAGAGTCTTTCCACTCTTTCTAAGCTTCATTATTTGATTGTAAAATGAGGCAATTGTGGAGCTTAAATTAAAAACACGCCACTTAGATAAGTGCTGAAGATGGTGGCTGGAAATCAACATGCCCCAAAAAACGTTATGAAAAACTACAGATTTTATGTGTCCCTTTCCAAGAGAATAGTATTCACCGCATATGGTTGTCATTAGCTTCAAGTGAAATAACAGTGCATGTAAAGTGGTTATTACTTGTGATTATGCCTATTGTCACTAGGTCACAGGATGAGGGGACGCCCATTCAGCACATGGCTCATCTCATATAGGGTTTTCTGAAAGCCTGGGCCTCGGAGTTTGGTGGACTTCCAGAGGCCTAAGAGGGCTGACATCATCTCTGAAGGCTTGCTTCCTTAGGTGATAGCCTGGTGGACTTGTTGGCACTCACAGCCATGTTTATTGCGGTGGGCCTGTCCTTGATGGTCTTATTTTGGAAGAGGTGGCTGACCCTGGCTGCTTGGGTTGCAAGAGTGTATTCATTGAGGTGAGCTATTGAGGGTTTGAACAGGTTAAAATCTGGCTGTGATGACCACTTGTTGCCTAGGCTACAGAGCAATATAGCTTTTCCTAAGTTTGTGGGGAACATTTTGATTCTCAATGCTCGCTTTTCACACACCTACCAATTTTGCTGGAAGCTAACTCATCTAAAAGGAACAAAGTTTGTACCCCGATGCTGAATACGATATTCTAGGGGTTCAGACTATGTCACCCCAAAATATAACAATTTGGCATATTGATCATTTTGAGTTAAAGGGACTTGAGAAACAGCTGCTGTAAGGACACTCTGAACCACCTTCGTCCATAGGAGGATGAAGGTAGATCCCATATGAGAGGTACCCACCCTGCATCCAGGAAGGTAGAAGGTATTCATGTCACCAGAGACAGGTAATTTAGGGGAGAGGGCTCTTTATACAAACCTTGGTAATCTTCCCCATTTTACTACACTTGGTCTCCAACTCTCCCTTGTCAATTCTTCACGTGTTTATTGTTTCTTTGTCCAAAAGATATGAAAACTTTCTACTCTGGTCACTTTTTTGATTCTCATAGCTTTGTGGGACTCCCACACGTAACTAAATGTTTTTCTTTTGTCTTTTTATTACAGGTGGGGTCTCAGGCCAAGAACCTAGAAGGGCAGAGGGAAAATGATTTTTCCTCTTTTATGATATCTTATTAATCAACTTTATGAAGTAGGTACTATTAGCCTTCTTTAAGGAGACAAATTGGAAGACAGGGAAGTTTAGTGTTTTGCCCAATATCAGATAGCCAGACAAGGATAGTAAACAAGAAAGTGGATTTGAATGCATATCTGTGCGACTACAAAGCCTAGACTTTTAATCCCTATGCAGGTTCTGATTGCTGCCTGCTCTGTTAAAGCAAATGCTAAATATGTTACAATTTAAAGTAAAGGGGGAAACACAAGTTAGTTATTCATTTACCCATTTAACACATCTATTGAGCCCCCATTATCTGCTAGGCGCTGTTCTGAATGCTTCTGAAGATACAGAGATAAAGACAAAGCCAATACCTTCTTAGAGCTTCCATTTCAGTGAGGAAGTCATTAGCAAATAAGTATAAAATATACATAGTCATAAACAAATAAGTATAAAATATGTTAATGTCAGATAACAATGAGTTATTGAAGAACTGTGCTAAAACTTGCTAGTATCTTAAAGAACTAACAATTTGAGGAGACAAAGCATGAATATACAAAATGTTAAATAGCCAAAAGTGGAAGGCAATCAAAATAAAATAAGAATGGAAACAAGGCACCAAAGATTAATTTCGATTAGTATTATAGAAAACAAATGATGCGAGTTTAGAAGAGGGGAAGATTACTCTGGGGAAGTGTTTGGGAGGAAACTGAAGACTAGATAGGATTTGGCTGGTCGGAGGGAGGGAGGTGTTCTGGGACAGTTAATTACCTCCCTGAGACAACTGCAAGTTCATTCTTTTTTCTAATAGTTGCTAAACATGACAGATTTAAAGAGTGTAAGTTTGGCCCTCCTGGCTCTTCACACTAAATCTGAAGCCCCATTCGATTTCATCAGCCTGACCTCAAAAGCATCAGCAAGGCTAGGATGTGCATGCATCAACTTCTGGACTTCAACAGATGAATATGTTTTTTTTCAGGAAGAAAAAAAAAAAAAGCAAACAAAACACTACATTTACCATGCCCTGTAGAGTATGAAAATCTAGCTGACATTCTCATTTATTCATCATCCGCCTCCTTTAATATGTCATCCATCATTTGCTCCCATGTCCCTTAAGAGCTTGTGAAAAGCTACAGTGTAAATGACTGAGCAGTCAAATGCCAAATGCCTTCCATTATTTCTCTGATGGGAGTATGGGGAGTGGGGGAAGTCAAGGTCTGTTCACCGCAGTGGCTGATGGAACAGGAACTTGATTTTGAACTTGTGGAGCACTTCTCTGTCGGGCAGGGCTTTGCAACAATGGTTGAAGGTAGGGCACAGCTCTGGGACAACCCAGGGATTGCTGTATTTTGAAACCAGGAGCTGCACATTAACCATTCTAGAAAGGAGTCTCTTTGTCCAGGCTGCCTGAAATTTGAGCACACGTCCGGAGGAGTCGGCCCAGATCCTTTCACACATTCCCTTGGAATCCTTCCTACAAAGGTAGACTCAAAATTAATCCTGGGGGCCGAGGTGGCTAAAACATATGTGAGGGAAGTGACAGAATAGATTTTCAAGCAATGAAAAGGAAATGATAGATGACTTTTTTCGCCTACATTGATGGAGACGTTGAGGAGAGAACAACGCAATATTTTTAAAAAATGCAACCAATGACATCTCCTGATTTCACTGTTACTTCACTTCAGCTTCAGGTGTCAGAGACGTTTAGAGCAAAAGGAGTCCAATTTAATTTCCAGGT